GGAAGAAGGAGAGAAGAGGGAGGGAGGGGAGGAAAAAGAATATTAGTTGTAAGAGACAAATTCAACGTGAAAAGACTGAAACAAGAGGGAATGATATTTTCTTCTAGTATCTTCTACTTTATTCCAGCATTGGTGAGCACAGAATACCTGCTCTGAGGCTAATTAGTGAATGCTTTGGGTGTTTGGGGAAGAGTACTAGAGTGAGCAAAAGGGCCGAGGTGTTCAGAGGTCGGCATATGTAAGTCTGTAAGTGAGTTGATCTTGGGGTTTGTCTTAGTGTTTTTACACATTTTCTTAGTATTATAAAAGCTGATAGCATGGTGTTATGTAGAAACTTATAAAATGAAATTTAATCAAATATTCAAGTATATGTGGTCTGTTTAATGTACTTTTGTCTAGAGTATAAGTTTATTAGTTTTCTGTTGCTGTTATAAATAACTGAGGTATTTAATGTAAACTGGTGATAATTTACTTTGCTTCTTGACTTTAAAGGTTTCAGCTCTTGATCACTTGTCTGTGGTAGCATAGTACCTCAATGATGGGTGTGTGTTGTATGAAAAGGATTTGAAGTAAAAGTTAAACATAAAGGGGAATGGGTTTGTACCTATTAGTGCCTTAAGAATGATCTTATTTGAAATAGATAAATGAAACACAGACACACAAGTGAATACTTAAGGCTGACTGATCTACTAGGAATTACAGTTGTTGAAATAGCATTTTGACTTTGAGTTCTATGTTAAAGATTATAGTTGTATCTAATCTTTTTAAAATTTTAAAACATTTTTATCTTTTAAAAACTTTCACTGCATATATTTATTATATTTATTATGTTACATAAGGACATATTCATACAAATATGTATTGTATATTGAGCACATTCCCCTCTCATATCTCCCTGCTCACCCCACTTCCGTTATTCCCCTTTGTTCCCATAGACAATTTCACTTTTTCTTCCTGTCATGTATGTACACATGGTTTTCTGTTTGTCTAAAATCTGAGAACCACATACAGGAGAAAACATGCAATACCTGTTTTTTTCTGAGACTGGCTAAATTTTCTTAATGTGCCAATCTTTGCAAACCTAGCAGGAGATTTCATCCATACCTGTACTGACCAAATCAGTAGCTTCTTACCACATTGACTATTTACATTTTCATTATTTATTGTGAAATAAAACAGTAACTTTAATTTGTAGGTCATAAAGCAACATTTTAAGTGCTCACTTACCATATTCTATTGTGCCAGTGTAGAGCATTTCTGTCATTACTGAGAGGTCTGTTATAGTACAACAGATCTAAAAGTTATTAGCACCAGAGGTTAAATTCTTTAATATTCCATGATGACATTGATTTGGGCATACATTTCATGATACTCTTTCTCTACCTCCATTCCTAATTTTCCCTAGTCCAAAATGAATTTTACATCATAAAATTAAACTTGCTTGAGAATTTATTATAATTTTGAAATAATTAGTAAAATATTTTAGTTTTACTAAATTAGATTTATAAATCATCTAAGGACTTGGCGTCTTAAATGTTGAACATTTAATGGGGAATCAATTAACTTCTATTGTGTTTCTTTTAAAGCTATGCTTTAACTAAGTAAATGTGGTCTGGGTTGCTTTTTAAAATAAGTATCCTTGGAATGAACATGACATATAATGAATATAAGTGGTTATTGGTCACTGAGAAGGAAAAGATCCTGTTCCAGTTTTTCCAAAAGCATTTTATATTGCACAGTAGTTATTTGTCATAGCTGATTATTTTATACTAAATTTGAACTTTTTCTGCTGAAATGATATTTTACTAGTGATTACTTTTAAAATCAAACTCCTGTCTTAGGCTATAAAGTGACTTGAGAGCATTGTAAATAAAGTGCTATAACAATGAAGTATTTTAATTACAGCCCCTAGTGTGAGCATAAAACTCAGTAAAAATTGACTTACGTTCTGTTCTGTTTGGTTTTTTTCTTCTAAAGTTGTTTGAATCTAAGTGAAAAAAGAGGAGGGGAGAATGTTAGCTTTGAGTCACTTGAGCAAACTCCATGGCTGCTCTCCCAGTTAGTGAGTTCTCATTGCATTTGCAGCAAGCTAATTGCTTCTGCTAATAAATAATCTAAAATCGATGCTGACAGCACTTAATTGGCACAGAGATTTTATTTTGTAAAGCTCTTGGCTAACGACCTTCTTAAATTAATAGCATTAAGTGCTATGAGGAAATAAATCTGAGGAATTGCCTGTCATTTGCTTGTCATGTCTAATAACTTCCAATAATGATGGCTGATAGATTTTTGCACATTCCATTATTGAAGTTGGTGCATGTAATTATTCTCCTCATTATATGTAAACAATTAGCGATATTTGGTATTTCCTTGCAGTAAAGCTGCTAAAATACAAGCACTGTTATTAGAGGTAAGGAACTATTTTAAAAGCTTGGATTTTAATGATTTGATTGTTGGAAATCTTTCTATTTAGATGCATTTGCTGACTATAAGTACAAATAGAGGAGTGACTTTATTTTGTTTGATTCCAAGATTGATACTTTAATACCCCTTGAATAAGATTTATAAAAATAGATAGTATATGTTTCAAAATATAACAACTTATGGAAATTTTTGTTTGTAGCTTGAAGAAGTCATGGAAAAAGAAACTTATAAGACAGCTAAGTTAATTCTTGAAAGATTTGATCCAGACTCAAAGAAAGCAAAGGTAAAACTGACATTACTGTTTTTTCATTATGACTTATACATTGTATTAGGGACTGTATAATTTAAACATTATTGTAATTGACAGGAGTTTGAGCCGCCATCTGCTGGAGCAGCTGTAACTGCAAAACCAGGACAAGGTAAATAACTTTGTAGAAACTGCTGCTGCTGTTGGAAAGATCCATATTTACCCAAGTGAGTTCACAAGTGTGTGTTGGTGGTGTGTAAAAAGTTAAATGCTTTTATGTTAATTTATACTTGATAATCTGACATCTGACGTAGGATAAATAACAATTTTTATTTTGTGGGAATATATTGATAAGTTAGAATATTAAATATTTATTGAGATTAAAATATATAATTGATTTTAATCTTGAAGTTTAATTGATTTCACCTATATTTTATGAGCTTTTTCCCTTGCAAATAATAATCTTTGGAATGTCTGTTATTAATATCTTCATTTTTATGATTTCTTTCTGGAGAATGAAGACTTTTGTGATGGTTAAAAAACTTTAAAATAACACATTTACTTAATACAAAAGCAAAATAATTTAAAAATGAGTAAAAAGAAAATTGAATATATATGAAATTTTTTATATCATTTATAGAAATACATAGAAAGAAAAATTTCATGTAACAGCAAATTTTTGGAGTTGTATTACCTACCATACTGTCATCACCAATACATTAAATAATATATAAAATTTCAAGTCATTTTATTTTTATTGTGAATTATTTAAACTTAGTTTATTATTATTGTGTATATGATGTGTGTATGTGTGTGGGAGGGGACATGTGTGCCAGGGCTTATGTGTAGAGGTCAGAGGTAACTCTGGAGTTGACTCAGTCCTTCCACCTTCCTTTGGGTTGTAGAGATTGAGCTCAGATTCTCAAGCTTATGGGTATGCCTCCTCATCAGCCTCCAGAAGTCATTTTAAATGGTATATAAAATGTCTGCTAAAGTGGAGTGTGAAGATATCTTGAGTTTCATTAGTTTTTAATCTTTGTAGTTTTTCACTAGAGTCTGGTAAGTTTTTAAGATTTTGTGGCATTGAGGAATATAAAATACATAGAAAACTGCAACTCCTGTCCTTGCATAATTGAAGCCTGGTTTTAAATTTACAATACCATTTATAACTTTGAGAAGGGAATCTTTTTATAAATAACCACAAGGACTGTGAAGATAAAATGAGTCACATTTTAGGTTTTCTAATTGATATTGCTGGTGGGAAGAATTCATGGGTTAGAAAAATATTAGCTTGTTCTTTATTTTTTTCATTGCTTTTTTTGGTAAAAGTAAAAGTTCTCATATGATTAAAATAAATTACATATATGTGTTTCTAGTGAAATTTCCATATTTACAATCAGTGTTAAGTTTTCCTATAGTTTATACATTTGTTAAGCAATCCTAGAAAAAAGTTTTGTTATATGTAAAACATTTTTTGTATATATACTTTTAAGAAGTACTACTTAAGAAATACTGAGTTCATAGAAGCAGAGAATAATATTGTTGTTTTCAGAGATAGAGGTGATGGGAGCAATAGGGAGAGATTGGTCAAGGGATAAAATTTTAGTTATATAGATGAATGTAATACATAAACAGCTGACAGATAGGATAGTGACTATACTTAGTAATGCTGTATTGCTTACTTGAAATTTGCAAAGACTGGACTTTATGTGTTCTCTCCATATACAGGAAAACTGGTATGATGGATATGGCTAATAGCTTGACTGTAGGAATCATTTAATAATGTGTAAGAAATTCTTTGAATAAGTAATAACACTAGTAAACATGTTTTTCAGTGTGATATTTTACAGAAAGCCACGGCTGTTACTGTCCTAGGTATTTTAGTATTTAAAGTAGCAATTTTAAGAATTTAAACGTTTCTTAGAAACTTCAGAGACCCAAATAACGTTTTTCTTCTGACATGATAATTATAGAAAAGCTGCTGCTGATTTCATTTGCTTTTGGATAGTCTTCGAGAGAATATTTAAAAAATGCATTTAAGGAGCAGGCAAGATGACTCTGGTAAAAGCACTTGCGTCTATCCCCAGGATCTACATGTTGGAAAGAGAGAACTGACTCCTGCACATTGTCCTCTGACCTCATATGCATCATGGCATACAGGACACATTCCTCTCCCTCAAACTAATAAAGACATTGAATTAAAAATGTATTCAATACTTACAGGCAGATATCTTGGAGAATAAAGAGATGAGGGTATCATTTTTTAACCTAAAAAATTGGTAACTGTGTGCAGCTATACATGCATGTGTGTGCAAATGCATGTGGACCGGGGACACTCTCATGCTGTCACTTCAGGTGCTGTTTACTTTGTTCGGAGGCAGGGTCTCGCACTTCCTTATGACTCTCCAAGTAGGCTAGGTTGCCTGGCTAGCCACCTGGAGATCCACCTATTTCTGCTTCCCCAGCACTGAGATTACAAGGGCAAGTTCCATGTCCGGCTTTTCATTTTGTGGGTTCTGGGGACTGAGCTCGGGTCATGCTACTTGCACAACACACATTTTACGATTGAGCCATTTTCCCAGGCCCATCTCCCTCAAAAAACTTAAAACTTTAAATAAAAAAAAAAACATTACTTCTTTTGGGTGTCTTATTTTAGGATATCTTACTCCTTTTGGCATATAATTGCATTTTGGATTTTTTCTTAACATTTAAAAAGTTATAAATTAGGTTATTATTTCTTTTTACCTTTCAGAATTGCATTTTAGTTATGTTGAATCTTATTCAGTATCTTTTAGTTCATATCTTTATTTATTTATTGGAGACAGGGTTTCACTCTGTAACTCAAACTAATCTGGAACTCGTGGCAGTCCACCTGCCTCAGACTGCTGAGTGCTGGGATTGCAGGTGTGTGCCACCTTTCTTAGCTTCCTGTTGTCATAGTTGTTGGTTTTGTGTTTGTGTTAGTTCTGAGCTTCTGTTAGTTTGAATCTTGAGTTTTTGCTGCACTTGCATGCTAGTTTTCCCCTTTCCTCCCTCCTCCTCTTTTCCCTTCTGCTCTCCTCCCCTCTTACCTTCTCTTTTTAGTCTGATTTTTGGTTAACAGAAAGTGCAATAAAGTGCTGAATACATATATTGCATTCAGATATGGCCCTTGAAGTGATCTACTCTCTAAAAGGATTTTAATTTGAAGTGTCTATTTTGCTAGTTCTCTTGCAAATTGCTGAGCTGCAAAAACTGATGCATGTATAATAGATATCTTTATTTTGTGTAACTGAGTTGTTAATGATGTTTACTATACTTAGACTGATTACAGATTTTGAGGATAGTTTTGTTTGAGTTGCCTATTGTTTGATTTATGTTAAAAGAAATACTGTGCTTACTGGATGATTAACCCAGCTTCCCTGACATTCTCTTTCAGTCTCAAGTAGATTTCAATTTATTTTTTTAAAGAACAGCTTTGATTTGTAGACAAATGTCAAAGTAAGTGTAGGTTCCTGTTTGTTCTTGTGCCAAGTTTCTCCTATTAGAACACGAAGGTATGTTTGTAGCCATGTGATACATATAACTGAAGGCCGTGCTGTACCCTTTCCTGTTCTGTGATACCATTTGAGTTCTATGTTATGTTTAGTTGTCTGTTCTTCTTAGACTGCTTTTAACTGGAATGGTTTCTGGATTTTTCTTTATTTTTTGATGACCTTGAGAGATCTTTCCCTAACATTTTTTGGTAAGGAATTTTTAGAGTGTTTAATCTGAAAAAAAAAAAATTAGTTATCATTTGATATGAAGGATTGAGCATATAAAATAGGGATCTGTGTATATACATTAAATAAAACCTTTTGGTAAGATGCTTGTATTGTCATGGACTAGAAGATGGAAAGATTTTGTCTCACTATATTAAAAAGCAATAAAGCTTGGACAGAAATAAAAAATGAAATTTGTCACAGTATAAACTCCTGAGTATCCTCTCTATCATAGAGAAATGTAAGTATTTGGGAATGACAAAAAATTAAATTTCTTTCAAGATCTTGATTATACAGGACTAAATTTGTTAAGGACTGAGCTTTTTCGTTTTCAAGATCTTGAAATCCAGGACTATATTTAATTCTAATGTATTGTCCTTAGTTAGGGTTATTATTGCTATGATGAAACACCATGACCAAAAGCAAGTTGGAGAGGAAAGGGTTTATTTAGCTTACACTTCCACATTGCTATTCATCGTCAAAGGAAGTCAGGACAGGAACTCAAACAGGTCCAGAACCTGGAGGCAGGAGCTGATGCAGAGGTCATAGAGGGCTGCTTACTGGTTTTCCCCTCATGGCTTGCTCAGCCCACATTCTTATAGAACCAGGACCGCCAGCCCAGGTGTAGTACCACACACCATGGGCTGGACCCTCCCCCATTGATCACTAATTGAGAAAATGCCTTACAGCTGGATCTCACTGAGGTCTTGCCTTAACTGAGGCTCCTTCCTGTGATGACTGTAGCTTGTTTCGAGGTAATACATAAAACTAGCCAGTACAGATGAATAGGAGGTTTTTAAGTTCACATGTGCATTATTCCTGTTGATTTAGAGAGCCATATTCCCTTGGTATCCTCCATCCCTTCTGGTTCTTACACTGGATCCCCTTCCTTTTCTGTGGGTTGCCCGATCCCTGAGGGGAGGGATTTGATAGAGAGATCTCATGTAGGGATGTTTTGTGTCTCTCTCACTCTGCATATTGTCTGGCTGTGAGTCTCTGTATTTGTTCCCATCTACTATATAGGAGGAAGCTTCTCTGATGATAGCTGAGCAAGACACTGATCTATGAGTATAGCAGAATGTCACTGGAAGTCATTTCATTGCTGTGTTCTTTTAGTAGAACTGAAATACTTGGTTTTTCCCTTGGTCCTTGGGCTATCTAGTCTTAGGTTCTTGGTCACCAAAGCAGTGTTAGGTATGGGTTTAATCTAGTGGAGTGTACCTGAGTCAAATCAGATGTTGGTTGGTTATTCCTACAAGCTTTGCCCCACCATTGCATTAGCATGTCTTGTGGATAGGGCAGTGTTGTAGATCAGAGGGTTTGTAAGCTAGGATGGGGTTTGTTTCTCCTTTGGTAGCATGCAGAGTACCTTCTGGACCTGAGACAATAGCTTGTGGGGTAAAGTCTCTGTGTGGGTACCGGCTGGATTTCCCACATTCAGGGATTTGTTACAGGGCTGTCTTCAGCAGTAGGGCCTTGCCACCAGTTTGTGGAGAGCTACCTAGAGTGTTGGCAAGAGCATGGCTTGTTCGGGGGTGCCCATAGGACCCCTTTGACCAGCAACTCAAATGTAATCCATTTCTGGTACTGGAGGCTTCATTTGGTGATGAGAGCTGTCTAGTTGGGGTTCTGTTCCCCCCATTATTTGGTGGTTTTATTTAAATTGCCGTCATATATTTAAATATTTTAGGAAGCTTCTACTGCATTGAGCTTCTATACTACCCCTTAAATGGCCCTTCATTTTAGCTGCCTATCCTCATATCCTCTCTCATCTGTGCCCTTTCCCCACTTGATCCCCCTGTTCCAGTTGTCCTCCCCCATCTCACCTATAATTATTTATTCTGTTTCCCTTTCCTAGGGAGATGTATCTCTTCCTGCTAGTCCCTTACTCTATACCTAACCTCTGTGGTTCTGGATTATACTTTGGTTATTATTGACTAAATAGCTAATATCCACATATAAGAGAATACATACCATTTTTGTCTTTCTTGGGTTACCTCACTTAGTATGATTTTTTTTCTAGTTCTGCCCATTTACCTGGGACTTTTACAATTTCATTTTTAAAAAAAACAGCTGAATAATACTCCATATTGTAAATGCACCATATTTTTGCTATCCAATCATCTGTTGAGGGACATCTAGGTTGTTTCCAATTTGTGGCTATTATGAATAAAGCAACAATGAACATGGTTGAGCAACTGTCTCTGTAGTAGGATACCCAAGAGTGGTATAGCTGGATCTTGAGGTAGATCGATACTCATCTTCCTGAGGAACCTTGCCACATTGATTTCCATAGTGGCTGTACAAGTTTGCAGGCTCACCAGCATGGATAAGTGTTCCCCTTACTCCACGTCCTAGCAAGCATGAGTTGTCATTTGTTTTATTGTCTTAGTCATTGTGACAGGCGTAAGATGAAATCTAAATCAAGAAGACCTTTTTTTTTTCTTTTTTGTTAGCTTGGAGATTGGGTAAAACAGAACAAAGCTGAGACATAAACTTAGGATGTAATCTAGTATAGATATGAGAGGAGGGCATAAATCATACAAAATTATGGCAGTGTAAATGAAAAAGAAGCATCTAGAACAGTGGTTCTCAACCTCTGGATCGCGACCCCTTGGGGAGCAGATATTTACATGATGATTTATAACATAGCAAAATTACAATTATGAATAGCAATGGAGATTTTGTGGTCGAGGGTCACAAGAGGCGCTGTGTTAAAAGGGCGCAGTGTTAGGGAGGTTGAGAAGCATAGAAAGCAGACTGATGTGGTTTGATGGTGATTACATTTGGAAAGTAGTGGTTGGTAAGAGGAGTTAGTAAATCATCTAGATTATCTACCGAGACTCGTGAGAGTCAGTGCAAAAATAATGCCTGGTAGAATAGCTTCTAAGACATGGTGTCCTTTCTATGTGAGAATCTGCAAGCAACTATGTGCTTGCACGGTCTTTCCAGGATTGCTAAGGAGATACTTCCATGAATAATCTACAGTGTTTACGAGCTAGGAGTTGATATTCAAATCACTATTGGAAATGTTTAGGTCAATTTTGAAAAATTAAGTTATAGTTATTTTTATTATAGAATATCCAGTTCAAGAATTAATAAAAAACTACAGATTTTAATTTTTTTTTTTTTTTCCTGAGACAGGGTTTCTCTGTGTAGTTTTGGTACTTGTCCTGGATCTCACTCTGTAGCCCAGGCTGTCCTCGAACTCATAGAGATCCGCCTGGCTCTGCCTCCCAAGTGCTGGGATTAAAGGTGTGGGCCACCACTGCCCGGCTCAGATTTTAATTTTTGCATAGTTAGATTTTCGCTAAAGAAACTCAAATAACTTGTGAACCATTTAATGTATAAATTAATATCTATATTTTATTTTATTTAATCTTTATGAGTGATTTGCCAGCATGTATATCTGTACACTGTGTGTGTGCCTAGTGCTGGAAGAGGCTAGAAGAGGGTGTTAGATACCCAGGAACTGGAGTTACAGACCATTGTGAGTTGTCATATGGGTCCTGGGAATCAAACCCAGGTCCTGTGGAAAAACAACCACTTCTCTTAACCGCTGAACCATCTCTTCAATCCCCTAATAACCATATCTTTTAAAAAAGAAATTTTTAGAGGCTAGAGAGATGGCTCAGCAGTGAAGAGCACTTGTTCTTACGGAGAACCTGGGTTTCCTTCCCAGGACCTATATGGTGACTTACAACCATTTGTAACTCCAGTTCTGGGGATCGATGAAGACACCAGGCATGGATGTGGTGGGCATACATACACAAAGGCAAATAGTTACATATAAAATAAATAATTTAAAAATATTTGTTTTTGTTTAATACAAATGTTTTATATGTATACTTCTTTTTTTTTTTGCATTTATGTACGTGTGCTGCATGGCTTCCAGGTACCTGTGGAGGACCGAACAGGGGACCGGATCCCCTAGAACTGAGGTTACAGACAGTTGTAAGCTCTCATGCAGGTGCTAGGAACTGAACCTAAGTACTCTGCAGGAGCAACCAATGCTCTTAGCTGCTAAGTCATCTTTCCATTCCCTATAAAATATAGTCACTGTAGATACTAGATTGCTTCAGAGCACTTACATTCTCTTTTTAGTTTTCATTTTTCCAACGTTAGGGACTGAACTTAGGACTTTGCTTGTTCTTGGCAGTTGTCCCACTACTTAACCATAACCCCAACCCTTGATGTTTTTGACCCTGGGTCTTCCCCTGTAGCCCAAGCTGATTTTGAGTTAATCCTCCCTCGCCTTTGCCTCTTTATACTACTGGGATTCCATGTGGATTACTATACTTGGCTTAGATTGCTTAGTTTTTGGTTATTGTAATCTATGAGACCTGTTTATTAATGCTAATACTAATAATTACTACTTATTAAGTACTTTTCCTGTGCTTGGCTAAGCTCTTTTTGTTGATTTTTCTCATTCTTTACAATAACCATAGCGATTAACTATTTTCATTATGAGGAAGCAAAATTGAGAGATGTCATCAATTTAGAAAAGGCTGTGTGCATATGAAGAAAACAATATAGCTGAAATTAAGGAAGCTTGAATATTGAGTCTTCTGGTCATAACATGATATTTTATAATTACTTTTAAACTTTATTTTATTCCTTTTTGTTTATTCTAACATAGTTGGAGTCTATGGGCTTAATTTTGAATTTAAATCCAGTACAGCGAGGCATATTCTCATACTTGGTAACTGAATTTTATTGACTGATTATTAATAAAAGTATTAAGTCATCCTTCTGTCGAGAATTTACTTTAAGACTGGAGTGTAGCTCAGTTGATAGCATGTCTGTGTAGCATATGTGAAGTCCTGGGCCTGATGCTGCATGCCTCTGATTCTACTACAGGGAGAGGGAGGCAGGAGGATCAGAAGTTTCAGGTCCTTCTCACTTACCTGGGGAGTTTGATATATGTATCCTGTCTAAACAAACAAAAACAGTTTTTAAACTGTCAGAATCCAAACCAAAAGTGTTCAATGCACTTTTACTGTTTAGACCAATGAACATATGATTTCTTTAGTTTCAGCCCAGTAGTTTAGGCTTGTGATATATAGAATTAAAAAGTTACAAAGGGTCTCTTGCCTTGATATCTAATGCTAAGGTGTAAAAGGGAATGTTAGAACTTCATTTATGTTGTCTAGTAGGGATCGTGAAATAGTCTGTGTAGCCAGTTAGTAAATAGCTTTGAAAGCCATATGGTCCTTTCTGCAACTTTGCAAGTGTTTGAAAGCAGCTGTTGATAATATGTAAACAAGAGAGAGAATATCATCCAATAAAGCTACAAAACCAGGCAGCAGATTAAATTTGGCACATGTGACCAATCTCTGCTCCGGAGAGTCTTCTAATTTCTAACTGAAAGCTGAGGTTCATGTATGACAAAGCATGTATATACAGTGGGAGTTCTCCTTCTCTGAATGGATTGACGCAAATAAATGTGCCAAAAGTCACCATAGTATGAAGGGATCGGTGCCTAAATAGTGAAGCATACTTTTTTAATAGCATTTTTATGACCACTTAAATTATTATTCCAGAATATACATGTATATATTTCCACATTAAAATTGTTACTTTTAGTCTTGAAAAGCAAATCTACTGTTTGAAATTTTCACTAATTCTGATGTTTCCTTTTCCGTATCATAGTTAGAAAGGCTTATTATAAAAGGATGTGGCACATAACTGGGTGGTGATTTTGAATTTATTTTTAAGATGTCGGTAGATAGACAAATTGCTTTGTTGTTGTTGTTTTTCCTCAAGACAGAGTTTCTCTGTATGTAGCCTTAGCTGTCCTGGAACTCACTGTGTAGATTAGTCTGGACTTGAACACACAGAGATCTACCTGTCTCTGCCTCCTGAGTTCTGGGATTAAAGGTGTGCGCCACCACCAGGTGGCTAGTTTGATTGCATAAACATGTACAGTTGAATTACTCTGGTTATTAAGAGTTCTCTGGTTTTGGTGTTATGTAGAATTCGCATTATAAATGGTTAGATACAGTGCCTTTTGGTGCTACAAAATTTTAGCAAATGTCATTTATGGTTGTGGCTAATATGGTATATTAGACATTAAGTATAGAATATACTTATTGTTCTCAGAGATTCGTCAGCGAACTGCAGCTCAAAGAAACCTTTCCTCAGCACCAGCAAGCTCTACTCAGGGCGCTCCTCCACAAGTTCCAGTATCTCCTGGGCCATCAAAGGATGCTTCAGCTCCTGGGGGACCTCCAGAAAGGACTGTTGCTCCAGCTTTACCCAGGCGCCTTGGATCCCCTGCTACTTCAGTGCCTGGAATGGGTAAACAGAGCACTTAATGTTATTTACAGTTTATATTGTTTTCTCTGGTTACCAATAAAATGGGCCATTTTCAGACACTATGGAAATGGCATTTCATTTGGAAATAGCAGAGCAGTTATCTGATTAAGCAGGAGTTCCATATTCAATTAGCTATAACTCTTTACAGCTGGCACCTTGTGATACCAAAACCTATTTCTTGAGCTCATTTAACTGTTATGGCTTCTTTGTTTAAATGGCAATAAAACTTTGTAGCATTCTGTAGTCTACAGTGTAGCATTATCTTTTTATATTCAATTCTTAGAATGGCTCCAGATTTATATATGGTAGGGATAGAGGAGAGCACTTTAGCAAGTACTCATATTCTTTGCTAATTCCTCGTATAGACACTAAAACATGACAATTACCATATTTCAGGAAAAATACCAAGCATTGTAGTGTCTGATATTACTTTTGTAAATATGAGCTAGTAGATTTTTTTCTCTTAAGTCATAGAACTATAGTGTTTTCTGATAGGTTCCTTTTAAGTTCTCTTAATAGTGTGATAGATCTGTAGATTTTATTCAGGGGTGTAACATATGGCCAGCTACTTTTTTTTTTGAAGTGTGATTAGGGCATGGAAATCTATTCACTGCTTTAGCAGATGATGTTTCATGTAGATTTCCATGTCAGATTATTAAATAAGGGTAAACTGTATTTTATATATGGCATTTAATTCTAATACAGGTACTTTAGTACTTCATAACTAATTGCTGCTATATAAATAGAGTAATGTTTTTGAGAGTAGACACTACTTTAATCAGGTGAGTTATTAGAGCATTTATGTAAATAAAAAACCACAGTGTTATTTATGATAGATTCTTGCTTGTGTTCCTGTAAAAATTCAACTAACATTTTAGAAGACTAAGAAACCATTGATTTACAAATTAAAAGAATTGACTATAAATGGAATGCATAAAAATATTAGTATTTAAAATGATTTTAATAATACATCAAAATCCCAGCACTCGGGAGGCAGAGCCAGGCGGATCTCTGTGAGTTCGAGGCCAGCCTGGTCTCCAAAGCGAGTTCCAGGAAAGGCGCAAAGCTACAGAGACAAACCCTAAAAAAAAAAAAAAAAAAAAATTTTATATATAATGATAAAAATAGTCATATATTTTGTGAAATTGAGAAAGTTTAATTGATTGAAAACAGTTCATTTTCCAGTTGTTATCTAGGTGATTTGAGATACCCATAATTTGTAAATTCAAGTTTTGGTTATTTAATGTAAGAACTTCAGGTGAGAATCTTTGACTTGCATGCAGCTTACCCACTTACATAGTTGTAAAGACGACACTGTATAGCATAGGGCTGGTTATACAAGCAACTGTAGCTTAGATTTCATGTACATGTAAGTAAAGCATGTGCTGCCTAAGTTTCTAATTAGTTTCTGTGGAAATACTGTTTATATTGTACATTGCCAAAAATATGAATTAGTTAAATAATTTATTATAGAGAAAATTAATAATTCATTTTTCTATTCCAACATGTTTGTGAGAGAATCAATTTAATGTATATTACCGCAGTGCTCCCATATGTTTGAAAATTAATAACCAGCAGGTACTTGATAATTTGCCAAACTGTAAAGATGCCCAGTATTCCTACAATAATTGCTTTTGATGGTTATTATTTACTGTTCCCCATGACAACATGTATTAAGGTGCATTATTTTCAAAGTTACCAAGTTATTTAACCAAGTTATTACCAAGTTGCAGGAAGCTTAAGATACTTTAATGAAATCTTTTATGTATTCAGATTGCTTTGTGTACATGTTCATTTTAAATATGTAAAAGTAAAAAACTCGAGCAAGTTAAGTTGATGTGAATGCTTTCAAAATCCAGTTTGGAAACTGGGAATGTAGCTCAGTGGTAGAATGTTTGCCTGAGTACTATACTAGCTACACATACATTTTTATGTTTCCTTTTAATTTTTTAAATTTAGCTAAGTATTTTCTGATTTCTGTTTTGATTTTGCTTTTCATCCTGAGTTAGTTAGATATGTTACATAGTCTTAAATATTTTGTGAGTTTTAAGATGTTTCCTGTTGGTGATTCTAATTCTTTTGTAGTCAGAAAATATACTGTGTGCTGTTTGGATCTGATTAAACATATTAAGACTTGTATAATGACCCATTACATCATACCTTGGTAACTGCTTTCTCTCTGCTTGAAAAAAAAACAAAAACAAAACATCTATTTGTTCCTGTTGGGTAGACCATTTATAAAAGTCCATTAGATAAAGCTGTTAGTAGTGAGTGTTCAAGTTTTTTTTTCTGACTTTATGTAGATTTATTTTTTTTATCAATTATTGGTAGGAAAATGTTAAAACCTTCAACTGTAATTTTATATTTGTCTATTTTTTCTTGAATCTCTATTAGTTTTTGTTTCATGTGTTTGAAGTTCTGTTATGATGCATTTACGTGTTTGGCATGGTTCTTTAAGGAAAAACTGTAACACTTACTCATTTATGGGTGTGTATGCATGGGTGTATGCATGTGTATGGAGGTCAGAAGAAAACTTGCTGGATTAGGTTCTCTCCACTGTGTAGGTTCCAGAGATTGAACTCGTGACGTCAGGCTTGGTGGTCAGCACCTTTACCCCCTGAGCCATCTTGCTGGTCCCTAGTTCTTGATAAGCTGACGCCTTTGTCCTTGTGAACTGTATAGTCATTTAAGGTTCCTTATGCTTAGTGTTAGCATAGTTTTATATTTTACTTAAAATTTAGTTTTCCTATTCTTAAAAATATATACACAGCGTATATTGAAGAGTTGCTTCTTTGTCCCGTCTGACAGCCTGTTTCATTGTGGGTGCTGACCATGATGCAGTGCTTATGTTTGGGTTTGAGTTTAAATGTTCCATGTGAAAATGAACTCATTTGTCCCACGCCTGTGCTACCCTTCTCCTCCTTGGCTGCCTCCCCTTGAACTGAAGGTTTTTATGACTACAATTTAATCTTTTTTCACTGCCGTATTGTTTATAACACTTCTTTTGGCATGTGATTTTAATGGCTGTGTTGAGATTTAGTAAATATCTCTAATCACAGTTGTTCATGTGATATGATATCGTCTCACAGTTTTAAAGATCTGATGAAAATATATTTAATATTTTCCCTCTTGTGCTATTTATTTAGTATTTATTTTAGTTCTCTTGCTTTTAGTTTACATTTTACTTCTACACATCCTACATATTGTAGACTTCATCTGTGACGTTTAGTGTACTTGTAGTTTTTTCTCATGTCTTTACTTAGCATACTTAGGTTCTCAAACATGTAGACATGTTTTAGTATTTTTACCTACCAATTCAGTCATATCTCAGACAATTTTTCTCATTATACATTGTATTTTTGTTTGTTTGTGTGCATGGCTAGTATTTTTTGAATGCCAGACATTGCAAATTTTACATTACTATGTTTCTTCTTTCTTCTCCTCTCCCCTCCCCCTTTTCTTGTTTTGTTTTTTTGAGATTTTCTATTCTAGTTCTTGGAAATAAGCAGTCATTCTGACTGTGTGTGAATACTGTTTCCTTTAATCTTTTAGAGGAGATTTTTCTCCTCTCAGGTAGTTTTTTAGTACATGGGCTGGTCAGTAATGTGCTCAGTGTTTTCAGAGGCACTCTGTAGTGCTTCAGTGTAGCCGGCTCTCTTTTGGGCCACCAGCCAGCTCCCAGATCAGACATGGAGACTTATTATTAGTTCTGAATGCTGGGCTTTAGGTTGGGCTTGTTTCTGGCTAGCTTTTTTATCTGAATATAACCTGTTTTTCTTCATCTACATTTTGCCTGAGGGCTTTTTACCCTTCTTTCATTCTTTATGTCCTACTTTTTCTGCTACTTCCGTGTCTGACTGTCTGGTGGCTGCCTGGCTAGCTGGCCCTGGTCGTTTCCTTCAACTTCTTCTCTCTCGAGCCTAGATTCCTCCTCCTGCTTATTATCTCTGCCTGCCTCCTATCCCTCTGTGCCTAGCTATTGGTTTTATCAGACCAATCAGGTGTGTTAAGCAGGCAAGGTAAAACAACAACACATCTTTACATAATTAAACACATGCAGCATAAATAGATGTAGCACATCTTTGCCTAGTTAAACAAATGCAACATAAACAAATGCAACACACCTTTACATAGTTAAAGTCATATTCCACAACACTTAAGTGATTTTTTTTTTCTTCATGTTGTCTTCGACACTGTCATGTGAATTTGAGCTGCATTGGTTTCCCTAGACTTCCCATGCTATCTTTTCAGCTCTGGGAGACAGCTGTAGTTCCTCTGGGGTTAGCCCCCTTCCTCTGTTTAGAAACTGTCCGTAAGCAGAAGGCTGGTCCGCTTGCAGGGTTTGTCTTGGTTTTAAGTTTTCTAAGGGAAATTTAACCTATATTGCTTGATACACATGTTGTTAATTTTTAATATGCTTCATCTATTTCTCACAATCTTTGGGGAAGGTAACCCTAATCTGTTACTCTGAGTCCAAAGTAAAAGTCTCTAAATTATTACCATAGGCTTTTAGGAGTAGGGTATTTTAAAAATTAGTTTGTATAGAACCCAACTAGTTTCATATCCTAATAAATTACATTGGTGGTTCTGATGTACATATATAGTAGATTTTTATAGTATGGTTCATTAAACATTTCATGCTGTATAGAGATTTATAAGAGTTAGTATTTTATTGTTTTAAAATCTTTCAAATGTTCTAACACACCTAAATCACTTTGGCAGTTGAATTAAATCTTGTGTATGTATCTTATATATACAAATTTCATGTATTTTTATTTATTTGCTAGGCCATCATCCTCCAGGTCCACCCTTAGCAAGACCCATTCTCCCCCGAGAACGAGGTGCTCTGGATAGAATTGTTGAATATTTAGTTGGTGATGGTCCACAGAACAGGTAATGTTTGCTAAGCTAGTAGATAAAGGGACATGAAAAAAAAATTATTGGCAGTGTATGTATATATCTGTGATGTTTTGTGGCTTGTATTTGTACATTTAATTCTGCTATCATATTAGAGAAGTTGAATTATTTTGTTCAAACTATTAAACTTGAAGAGAGCAAAAATAGCAAAACCCTGGTAGGTTAATGAGAAATTGATTTTTTTTAATGTGTGTCACTGTTGTTGGTGATGATGGAAATACTACCAATGGTAATGAAAACAATTTGCATTAGTTAACTCTTACTGTTTTTCGGATTATTATATTACTTGATCCTTACCATAAATCTAGGAAGGTAGTTGTTATGAGTGTGCAAAGCATTTGTAGGCTTTCAAAAAACTCATGGGGCAGTAGAGTACATGTTTGACAGCTTTACTTGTTGGTATTAGTTTCATAAAGGAAACATAGTTTAATTCTAATATAAATTGTATGTTATTCAAAACAGAATGATTTGATTAAGCCAAGAATCTGTTGAGTTCTGATGATAGAACAGAAAATGAGAATGATGTTTAAGTGTAACTGATAATGAGAAAGGTACAGGAACCACATCATATAAAAATTTACTATTGGCCTTAATTATATAGAATTAAATGTATTTATTTTCTGCAAGATTTCACAGGGCTTCTTTTTATTTTATTTTTTATATTTGTTGTGAATCTCTAAGAAGGTTGCATTAGCCGGGCGGTGGTGGTGCCCGCCTTTAATCCCAGCACTCGGGAGGCAGAGCTAGGCGGATCTCTGTGAGTTCAAGGCCAGCCTGGGCTACCAAGTGAGCTCTAGGAAAGGCACAAAGCTATGCAGAGAAACCCTGTCTTGGGAAAAAAAAGAAGGTTGCGTCATTTCTGATTTTATGAAATCACAGATTTGGAAGCTATCATACCAAGGAATAAATCACTGAGGAATTTAAGTGTTTTGTTGCTAAACTTTTTAAAAAAACATTTTTTTTTATTATTTTTTAAGTTGTGTGTATGTATGTGTGTCTGTGTATATTAATGTAGGTACACAAAGAAGCCAGAGGCATGAATCCCTGGAGCTAGAGTTACAGGTGGTTGTGAGCTGTCTGTTGTAGGTGCTAGGAATCAAACTCAGGTCTTCTGGAAGAGCATTATATACTATGATCTTAACTGCTGAGCCATTTCTTAAGCCCTTGATTACTAAACTTGTTTCTTTTGACTTAGGATATATTCAACTGTTCTTTAGTTTATTTTTAATATCATGTATAAACTATATATAGATATCTATGCACACACATATATACATCTATTTATATATACATGCATACATTTAAGTGCTTTATGTTCTGTGTTTATTCTATTTTTAAGTATTTATTTATTAGGTGCTGGGAAAAGAACTCAGGAGTTTGTACATGCTAAGCAAGCATCCTCTCAATGAGCTATACTGCCACTTCTTAAATTATATTTCAAACTGGTTGAAATTTTGGTTTTGGTTAACTTCAGCTTTTGCTTAAGGAGTGTTTTTTGTTTTTGTTTTTTTTTTTTTGGTTTTTCGAGACAGGGTTTCTCTGTGTAGCTTTGCGCCTGTCCTGGATCTCACTCTGTAGACCAGGCTGGCCTGGAAATCACAAAGATCCGCCTGCCCCTGCCTCCCGAGTGCTGGGATTAAAGACGTGTGCCACCACTGCCCGGCTGAAGGAGTGTTATTAATGATTTGCTAACATTTGTTTATTATGGCATAGTCATCTGTTTTGATATAAGTCGCAGTGGCTGAGTGGCCTCTCTGGTGAGCTTTGTCTGTCGTTGTAACCAGTGTGTTGTTTTCCCTTGTGGTGTAGGTATGCTCTCATATGTCAGCAGTGTTTGTCCCACAATGGCATGGCTTTAAAGGAAGAGTTTGAATACATTGGTAAGGATTTTTGGATAGTTAGGTTTAAATATTTTACTCTTAAATATATTATTCTCATCTACTCCCGTGTAATATCATTTTATTTTAGGTACTGCCTGTACATATTGACCAGGTACATTGTCTCCTTATTTAATACTAAAAATGAAGGAGAAAAGCTAACTCAATTCCTTTTTAAAATGCACAGCTTCTAGGCTAGCTGTTTTCAAGATATTCTGCTACCCAGACCCACCTACAGGGAGTCTGATTTAATTACTGGGGTGGCATCTAAGCATTAACGTATACTTTTAAGATCACCAATTATTTTCACATGCAGCCATTATTATATGCTCACATGATAAATTTTGCTTTAGGGATATAACACGCTATATCTTCTTGGACAAGATTCTGGGTTTTAAAATATGTAATTATTCTATTGACTAGAAATGCAAGTTCAATCAAATATTTAATAATTTATATGGTTTTGCTATTAAACTGCACTTGTTACACCTTTTCTACTTTAAAATTAATATTTGAATTCTCATAGTAATCATGTAGTATGCTTTAAAATTAATGTTGATTAGAACACCTAATGTAATAGTAAGATAACAAATTCAGAAGTTATAAACTTATAACTTGAGTTTGACTATTTATAAAAGTAATCTTGTGAGTTATCTGGTTTGTTCTTGAAATTTGGTTGATTTTTTTTTTTCTTCATTTAAAAAAAATTCTATGCAGCTTTTCGATGTGCCTACTGTTTTTTCTTGAATCCTGCAAGAAAAACCAGACCTCAAGCTCCACGACTTCCAGAGTTTAGTTTTGAAAAGAAGCAGGCAGTGGAAGGCTCAAGTTCAGCTGGTCCCATGTCATCAGAAAGTGTACCCTCACCAGAGAGCCAGTTCAGTGAAGGTAGGAATCTGTTAACTGAAGTGTTTGTCTTGGTACCGTGTGTAGCTTAATAATAAGAGCACAACACTTACAAAATGACAATGGGTTAATTTATGAAGTTTTTCAGCATGCATATGTCAGCTATTGCACTGATGGCTTCTTCTGTGATTGATATGATTGATGTGTTTCAGTTTTCAAATGCAGATTATGTTGTGATCAACAGCATTTAGCACCAGTTGGCTGAGCATTGTGTATGGAATGAACTCTTCTGAAGTCCAAGAGACTTATTAGTGATGCTTTCGTGGAATCATTTGGTGTGTCTAAATGAAGCACTGAAATCATGAAACAACTGTTCTAAGGACAAAATATTTAGAATGTGTGTGGGTAGAATAGGTGTATGTCTACCGTTCAGGTTGGTCATTGGTAGAAATGACCAGAGAACAAGAAACTTAGGAGTTGGAACGTCATCTTTGCATGTTTCAGACAACTTGGTTAATAGTAATAGCACTTTGTTTCATTTGGACAGTTTATTAGAAGTCCATGAGCTTAACAGTGCCTGTGATAAAGGAGTCACTTTGTTGTATGGAAATAGGATTTATCAGAGCTTGTGTTTTAGAGTTAGTCTTGCAAGTCTATCTTAAGAATTCTTAAGGAAGTTTCATGAAAAAATGGAAAAGGTGAAATAGAAAACTGCCAGCTATTTCTCGTTATTAGTATTCACTCATTTTTTTGTTACTCAGTTCTAAATTATGAAGATGTCTAAAATTATGAAACAGACCATAGTATTTTGGTACTGTTGCCTAGTGTATAAAAACATCCTGGAAGTTCACAAATTTAGTAGCAATTATCATTTATATACTTTTGATTTATCTTTCATAAAAGCATTAAAATTGCTTTAGCTGGATTATATGAAGCAGTGAATATTTTAGATTTCAGAAGGTTAGTATGAGAGTCAAGGGTTTTTTAAACTTTGAGGAATGAACCTGAAATATGTGTGGAATTGGGCTTGGCTTTGGCTTACTAACAAGTGTCAAAGTGAACATGAATACAGACAGCTGTGACTGAGCCTGTGTCCTTCCAACGCTGAGTGAATGCATCTTCGTCTCCAAGTCTGCAGCATCAACTCCAAACACAGTGTCAACCTTTTTTTTTTGGCTTTAGTCATGCTCTGAGCTGCATGCTGACACATGCAAACCATCTGCCTTGGCATTGCGGCCTCTTGGAACTGAGAATAAAGGGTTTTATACCGAAGATGCCTAGAGGAAAAACCTGAAGTCCCTTTCATGAGTAACCTTGCTTATGAAAGCTAAAGTGAATGCTTGAAAGCCAGTAGTATTTTTTGTTTGATTTTTTTCAAAAGAGGAGAAGAAAAAAAAACTCCAATAAAATATAAATCTTGATAATGGGTCCTATTCTTTATTTCTTCTACTAAGGTCAAGATGGATAGTTAGCAAACAACACACAGCTATACCTTTCCTTCTCATCTAATCTAGGAGGAACAATACCTCAGATGTCTCATTTTCTATCTGAAATCTCCGGAATGAAGTCTAACTGGCTCAAAGTGAACCCCAGTAAGGTAATGTTAATAGGTGAAGACTAAACTTGAGGCAGGGTCTGATGACTCCTTAGTACTAAAAGCTGAAGCAGTAATTCCATTTTGCTAAGGACGTTTTTATAGAGTCGTAACTTTTTCATACTTCTCTTTGGATTCATCAGAGTGGCCGGCCACCTTTTTTCTTCTTGTTTCTTCAGAAGACGGAAACTTTTCTCCAAGACTCCTCTATTATTACACTACGATACAGTTATCAGTCCAAAGATGGATCCTATAGTAAATGATGCCAAGTATTTCTGATGAACAAAGAGAGCTGCATTTATTTTAAACACTGGTGGTTAAATTGAGCTATCAAATAAGACAATATGATTTCAGTCATCAACTTTATGCTAATAGCCAATGTAGTTGGAGATTAAAGTTCTAATTTCTAAATTCATCAGTGTTATAGGAAAGTGAGGACTGGGCAGAAATGTTTTCCTTTTGTATTTTTAAAGCATATTGAAATAACTTCTTGAGAGCAGGAACTGGTCAGATATGTTGCTGAATTTACAGAATTTACACTGGAAAGATAACTTGCTTCTGATCAATGATCTAGAACTAAGAACTTTTCCTCCCAGTCTGTGCCACATGTCTCTGCAGTTAAGTTTTGTCTGGATTCTGATATTAGAAGAATTCACATTTAGGATGAGGTTTTTAAAAGTTTTCTATCATTTAGAATTGTGGAATCTTGTCAAATTTTTACCAAAGAGACCTAGAAGAAATTCCTGTTAATCCTTGAACTTTTTTACACTCTAGAATCGTAATCCAGATACTTTGATAACATAACAAAAACACAAGGAACTACGTGTATTAATTGCTATATTTTTAAAACTGTACTAGTTACCAAAAAAGGACTTGCTTTTAGATTAATTATTTCCTTTTATGATTAGATGATAATGTATAAATACACAATCCATAAATACATAAAAAATTAACTCTGCCAACTGACATTAAAGTAAGTGGTTGATTGGTTTTTTCCTATCCCCAAAACTGGGCTCAGCAAACACACTTGCCATGAAAGTTTGATGAAGCAGGTTTGATCCCTTGAGTCTGCAGAAAGGTGGAAAGAGAGAACCTCTCCACAGGGTCATCCTTTGGTTTTGACACGCATGCTTTGGCACATGCACCACCCCAGCACTAATAATGATCATAAATAAAACCCTTTCCAAAATGCTTCATAGCTAGCATTCTGTTCACAGATGTAGTCATCAGAGCAGCAAGGTCTCCACATTCTTGCGTCAGTTTAGTGGTTCTGTTTTTGCTGCCATGTTTGAAAAAAACATTGTTTCCATTACTTAATTATGTTTGTCTAGGTCCCAGGTAATTGCTTTAGTTGAAAATAATCTTTTATTCACTCGATAATATGAAAATTCATGCCTTCTATCCAATACTGATACTTAAGTAAACTTTATATAATATAAAATTTGATAACCTGATATCTATTCTTTTTTTCTTATTTGCAAACTACTGTTACTATTAGGTTACAATGAATGAATAAAGAATTGTTTTTAGTGTTTTTCATGATGCTCTAGGAAATTTTACCACTTGATAATGAAAATTTTGTTGGCTCCTATTTACATAAAAGACTTCTCATCCAAGCTTCAACCTTTGTTTATGTTGAGCTTTCTGAATAATTTGGTCTTCTGATTCCTTTTTGTAAACACTTCCACCCAATGGTTTAGGTGGTTTAAGTCATTGCTCTGTAATGAAACTCTTAATTGTTTTAATTGAATTGTTTACCAATGATAAATAACTAGATAATAGTCTATGTTTTGAATTTTAACTATTTTTTAAAAACTGGTTATAATTTAATTGGGTTATTTATTGAGTCATTTTTATGAATTGTGATGAAATTCATGCCTTTGTTCCTTAAATATATTGATCCTAAGGAAGGCAAAAATGTCTTCTTTACAACCTATGACTTAAAGACTGAAATTTTCGGTTTTAACTTAATAATGGGAAGGAATATGTATAGTGTACGTGTATAGTGAGCACTGATATGTTAAAAAGGCCAAGTTTTGGTTTCTCCACAAAGCAAAAACAATTTTTTTTTTTTTGCTAAATTATTTAGTTTTCTTTCTTAAGAGCTAGGATAAAAATCTAAATTTAAGGTAAGGCTCATATGTTTTTGCGTGTGTGTGTGTGTGTGTGTGTGTGTGTGTGTGTGTGTGATTGTGTAGGTGAAGCAATAGTATTTTTATTATACAGTTATATTGTTTTGAGTTTGAGTTGTCGAGCTGAGCTGGGGCTAGGCCTAAACAGTCAGTTACTAATTGCTATTTTTTTTTTGGTAGAAAAACACTGCTGTCTTAGTAATATTGGAGTGGATATTATAATAAAGGTGGTGGATAGGATGAGGTCCTTCAGATCACTATTTTGAGTCTTAGTCTTTTGGTATCTTATTGTCAAATACTAATGTCTTTTAAACTGTATTTTATATTACCAAACTAGTTTAAACTGAAGCTTCATTAAACAAAACAAAACTAATTTTTGTTTTTGTTGTAACAGGCAAATGATGCTCCCATAGAAATAAGTACTTTGGGGATAGTACATGGTCTTCTTATAATGCTCTACTGTTCAAATCTGAAATTGTTATGTGTCTGTTAATACCGTGCACCTGGTCTTTTAGCTCTTGTTTGTGTGGGTCCTGTAAGGTAGGTTTAGCCTCTCACATCAGTGCTAACTGACTTGTGTCATAGGTGTGTAACAGGCCAGTGTCTTTTTTAGTATTGTTCCCATCAAGATTGTTTTCTACACATCAACCCAAGAGAAGGAAAGTCCTTATAAATAGGCAGTTCAGTTATTTCAGTCCTTACTATCATTTAACCAAGTTTTTAGTTTTCCATATATTTTCTGAAATATAATTTTTACTAGAAACTGTGTCATATTTTCTAATTATTGAGACATATGCTTTGAATTCATGTATTATAGATGTTTAAAATTTCTAGTTCCTATGAACCAAAGGCTGAGGGGCCCCCAGCTGGATCAGGCCCTCTGAATAGGTGAGACAGTTGATTGGCTTGATCAGTTTGGGAGGCAACTAGGCAGTGGGACCAAGTCCTGTGCTCATTGCATGAGTTGGCTGTTTGAAACCTGGAGCTTATGCAGGGACATTTGGCTCAGTCTGGGAGGAAGGGACTGGACCTGCCTGGACTGAGTCTACCAGGTTGATCACAGTCCTCGGGGGAGGATTTGCCCCGGAGGAGGTGGGAATGGGGGGTAGGCTGGGAGTAAGGGGAGGGGGTGGGAGGGGGGAGAATAGGGGAACCCATGGCTGATATATAGAACTGAATGGTATTGTAAAATAAAATAAAAAAAAAAAAAGAGAAAATAGAAGAAAAAGGAAAAAAAAAAAACAAAAGGCTTTCTCAAAAAAAAAAAAAAAATTTTAGTTCCATTCTTTGTATTAGCTTTTTATGCAAACCTAGAATTTTAAAATTAGCTTTGACTTGGTTAAGTTTTTAAAGTTAGTAATATTATGAAAGTTTAATATAATACACTTTGAGCTTTGACTCCTTTGCTGTTGTGTTAGTTGTGTTAGAATTTAGCCAATGGCGTGTGCCTGTGTTCATTTAAACATGGTGTTTGTTGGTTTTGCCCTCTGTTATTAGCTTTTTGTTTTTTCATTTTATATGGCTTGATGGGTTGGTTTCAGAAGGCTTACTACACAAATGACAAAGTTCTTGCTGAATAAATATTGGTTTATGGCCAGAGAGTTGTGGAAAACTGTGGCTCTTAAAATTCTACTGTGAATAAATTCTGTGAGGGTTGAATTACAAATGGTTATAACTCCTAAGTTTTCTGTATTAGAACTTGCTTCTGTAGCAGACATGATTTGTTTATAGCCCTTTCTGCTTTTCCTTTCTGCCTGCTCATTTAACAAAACTGAGTGACCTACTGCTTTTCTTCCGACAACCAGATTTCTCTAATCATGTGTCACAAGTGTCATTTATGATCATTCCTTACTACTTTTTGTGATCACTACTATTTGGATTGTCATACAGTAAGACATCATTATGTGGATGCCCCTAACTATGGAATCTGGGCCTTTTATTCTGTAAAAGGAGAAATTTGTAACTAATCCTGTAGATGGGAATCCAGGATATCTATTTTAGGAGTTAATACCTTAAAAATATTTTCCAAGTTCTGACAAAAAGTGTGTTTATGCTAAAACCATGGATTTCTAGTATTTCTACAATGGTGTGTATATAATACACATAATTTTCTTGCAAAACTATTTAATTTGTGAAATTTTGGCTATATGTTACAAGGAATTTAGCTAGAATCTTTCCTTAAGCAGGCTGGCCTTCCCCGGATTTTTTTTTTTTTCTTATCAATAGCACTTGTAGTTTATCATAAAGAACATTTATGAGTATAGGGAATTTTGTCTTTTGCTTAGCTAATTTAATTACTTTTCTGCTAGCAAGAATATTAGGTTTATTATGAAAGAAGGGAATGCCTTAAAACTGGAATTTCCCTTTGACTTGAAAACTAGGTGACTCCAGGCCTTCGCTGCTTCTGTCACTTCCTCCTCCAGTTCATTATTTAATATCTAAAGAATTTAAAAGAGTTTTCTTCATAAACTTTTCATTAAATTGTTATTAAGAGATTTAAATTAAAACTCAAAAATAATTAGAACTTAAAGAGAGTAAATACACACAAACTTTTTCTGTGTATAGATAGAAGGAAAAAGACCGTTTTCTTTGTCCTAGCACACAGCATATTCTAATCCCTAAGTTTCAATAGTGAGGGCTTGGATAGGCATAAAGAGAGACAAGATATACAGTTGGAAAGATGGATCTTGACTTCTCTCATCCTTGAATAATGGATATGTATATAAGGTCTGGAGAGTACTGCCTACATATACATACATATCTATATGCACATATATGCATATACACAAAAGCATACACTTTTTTACACTTAGGTGTAAGGAAAACAATTTTCTGTTCAGTAACATGGGAGATTGTACATTTGTTTTGTTTTCTAGACTCTTGCCTTATTGTCCTAGTTAGGTTTCTCTACTGCTGTGATAAAACACTTTAAAAAAAACGAATTTCATGGAAGACACGTTTTATTTCACCCTATAACTACCAACTCCCTTGTCACAGTCCGTCATTGAGGGATGCTGGGTCAGGAACTCAAGAACCTGGAGGCAGGAACTGAAGTAGAGATTGTGGAGGGGTGCTGCTTACTGGCTTACTCCCTATGACTTGCTCAACTTGCTTTTTTTCCCCCTATTATTTCTTTTTTTTTTTTTTCATTTTTCTTTATTAAATTTTCTACTCAGTCCACATACCACCCACAGGTCCCACCTCCTCCCAACCCCCAGCCCTCTCTCCCAAGCCACCCCACAACCCATATTCCCCAAATCGAGGTCTCCCATGGGGAGTCAGTAGACCCCGGCACACTGAGCCTAGGCAGGTTCAAGCCCCTTCCCACTGCACCAAGGCTGCACAAGGAACCGCGCTGTAGGCACCAGATTCACAGAAGCCTGCCCATGCACCAGGGACGGATGCTGATCCCCCTGCCTGGGTGCCCCCCAAACAGTTCAAGCCAAACAACCATCAGAGGGCCTAGTCCAGTCCCATGGGGGCTCCACAGCCACTATTCTACAGTTCATGGGCTTTCCCCAGTGTGGCCAGTCATCTCTGCATGTCCTCCCATCATGATCTCGACATCTCCCGCCTGCGGACTCCCTCCTCTCATCAACTTGCTTTTTTTTAAAAATATGACTCAAGGTCACCTGCCCAAGGGTGGCACTGTCCACAGTAGCTGGGCTCCTCCCGCACCAGTCATTAATCAAGATATGCCCTAAGCCCACAGGCCAGTCTGATGGAGGTAGTTCTTCAGTTGAGTTCCCTCTTCTAGGTGTCTCAAGTTTGTGTCAAGTCATCAAAAAAAAAAAAAAAAAAAAAAAAAATCAGTGCACTTACAGTATCTCATCCTGTTGGAGCCTTGAGACTGGACACAGAGCTTACAGATGGATCTTTAGAAGCTTATTGTATATGAAATTATAGAAGTATGGGTCTATTTCCTTCATTTTTTCCTTTATGCTAATTCCTAAGTAATATGCTATCGTTCAGCACTTATTGTAGAAGATATAAAAGGTAAGACTAAAAGGTGTGTCTTAGTACATGTGTATGTTTGTCTTTGATTTTGCCTTATTTAGCAGTTTTGACATTTGAATATTCCTGAAGTCTCATGTCTTTCTCTTTTCAGAATCTTTAGAAGAACAAGATGTTCTTGGTAATAGTACAGAGCAGGAAGACGACAAAATACCAGAGGCAGAGCAGACAAGCCAAGTGATTGAAAAAACATCTGGTCCAGAGGATCCAGAGGCGAAGCAAGAAGAGACAGAGAATGAGGAAACGTCAACAAATGAAGCCAAGTCAACAGTTCTCACAGCTGATTCTGTTTCTAATCTTGAACCAAGTGGAGACTCTTTGGTGACACAGTAGTAAAGAACTCCATGTGCCTTCTACTGGACATTTGTAGTCTTGTTGATGTCAGCTACTGCTTTTTTTTTCTTTGTGGTACTCAAAAAAATGCCTTTTAGATATATGCTTAATACTATTCAAATTCAGATTGCCTAGCAAGTTCAGTGTGTTCAAGTCCTGTCTATTGGGCATTGAAAATAAAAGCATGTGGTATCACTGAATGTGCAGAGACCCACATAGCTATTAGATATTTTGTGCATTCTAAAGTTTAAAAAAAAGCATTTTTGTTTTCTACACCTATAACTTGTAAATAATACCCATTTTGACATAGGAACAATTTTGGCTAGGAATAATTTCTTTAATGGTGTTTAAGGATTGAAACATAATTAAGATTTTGAATACTTCATCATTGAATTTTAACTCCTGAGATATTTGCCAGTGGGAAGGATATATCTATTTAGGTGTTTACATTAAGTGATACTGAAAGCTGTAATCTTAATTACATAGGCATTGGTACGAATTGTCAATAAGAATGCAACTGAACAGTCAAGTGCAGTATTTCTTTTGATGTCTTTCATTTTGCAGCTGGGCCAAAGGCATGTGATGTATATAGTTAGTTTATGTTTACATATTAACAAATAGGACTATGTCTGCACTTGACTGTACTTGAATTCTTGGTATTATTTATATTTGTAAAATAATGATATATAAATGAATTTGTGTGTGCGTGTGTTTTGGAAAATAAAGATGACCTGGCAATGTTTTTTCTTGGTTAAATATCTAGACTTCTTCACATAGTGTTTTAATGGATGACTAGCCATCTGAAAAAAAAATCTTGGTAGGGAGAGTTCACTGTATGATAAATACATAGTAAATTATGTTTTTGTTTTTCATTTAGATTTTCAAATTCAGAGAAATAAGAAATTTGGTGTTTTTAATCAGAAGTTAAAATGTTCTGATTTTGAAACATTATGCCATTTGTAGTTTTTAACTTTGAGAGACAAATATGTTTTTGAACTAGGCAGTTAGCTGCTAATGAAGCTCGCTGGATTGAGTATGTATAGCAAGGAGCAGGTGTGAAGATTTTTGATATAGACTAGTTAATCTTAAACACAATCCGATAATTGGTTCTAGCTTCCTTTGCTGTGTCTTCTCCAATATTGAAACAATTAGAAGTGAAGTTATTATGCCATAGGGGAGACATGTTAGCATAGTGTGTCTGGTTTAAATTAAATATACTTTTATCATTTAAAAGTTTATTTTTAGATTTAATATCTCATCTGACATATATTAAAGAACCTAGTTTGTTAATAGTCTGAGACATTTTAGTTTGGTGCCCATAAATTCAAGGATGTGGAACTAGACTTGAATGTCAGCTTTGTAATCCTGGGCATTTCACCTAACCTCTTCGCATTTATTTCATCTGTAAAATGGGAAGAATAATATCTGTTTTCCATAGGTACTGGGATGATAAAAATAGTTTATATGATGTGCCTAGCTTTCTTGCTGGATAACTAATAGATATTAGATTACATGGTAGAAATTATTATTATTATTATTATTATTATTATTATTATTATTATTATTGAAACTCGTGTGAAATATGGAAGGGCCATAGATTCCTTCTATGGCAGGTAACGAAACTTAAAAAACATGAACATCATATAGTTGAGTTGCTCTGGACAGAAACAGCTTTCTGCGTTAATGTCATATGCGTGTGTCTAAATGATAGATTAAAGAAATGGAGAACTGAAACTATGAATTTAACCCTTCTTAAAAAGCTGCGTTTCTTTTTTATGAGGGTGAATGTTTCACTTGCATATATGTTTATGTACTGCATTTGTGCCAGGTACCTGCAGAGGCCAGAAGAGGGTACTGGATCCCTTGAAATGAAAGTTACAGATGATTGTGAGCTTCCACATGGGTGCTAGGGATCAAACTTGGCTGGAGGAGTAGGAACTGCCCTTAACCACTAAAGCCATCTCTGCAACTTCATGTAACATTTTGTTTTTAAATTTCACGAGCTCTGTGTGTATGCGTGAGTGTGTGTGTGTGTGTGTGTGTGTGTGTTGCACCTTGTTGAGTCTTTTTAAAAACATCTGATATACAGTGCTCGAATATGAGTACCTCAGAGAAAAGGTGTTTAATGATGAAACCGAGGAGATACTATAAAAAAAATCTCCAAAAAGAAATACAAAGGGAGGGCAAGAGAGATGGCTCAGTGGTTGGGTGAGTGTGCTCTTAGAGAGTGCAGGAGTTCGCTTCTCAACACCCAGCCTGGGCACCTCACCCCCACCTGGAGCTCCTTCTATCTGGACTCCTAGGACACCAAAATCATGTGCATTCTCGTCCTCACAGATACACATAATTAAACATAAAAATCCAGATCTGAAAAGGAGGTTAGTAAAGCTAACACAACAGAGAAGTAGTTAGTGTATTGGAAATCTCATTCTGATGTTATGACAGTGGCTGAGGAGAATGAAACGCCCCATTTCTGATTATCAAGACTAGTGTGAATGAGGGAAGCAAGCTGTCAAGCCAGAGTGATGGCTCCCCTGTCCACAGTCAACAGTCATTTCTTAATGTCCCCTCGTTGTGTCCGGTGTGACCTACAGACAGGGTTTGGCCTCCTCTCCCTGTCTTTCCCCACATCCTCCTCTCAATCCCGTAGCCGGGCTTTGTCCCCTTCCCTGCCGTAAGTGTCAGCTTGCATTGTTTTCTGACCCTCCACATCTCTCATGTGTGTCCCTTTGTCTTTCTTTGCTCAGGGTCCTTACTGAAGGGTGTCCTGTGTTCTCCTCAGCTCTCTCCACAGTTGGCCTCTCTTCAACCTGTGTGTTGAGGGTCTAGCAGGGCTCCACTCAGTGAAGACAAATTCTTCACTCGTTTTCCTGCTTGGCAGCTTGATTTGCCTGAGTGCTCTTTTATGAGACAGGGTTTCTCGGTGTAGTTTTGGTGTCTGTCCTGGATCTCACTCTGTAGACCAGGCTGGCCTGGAAACCCACAGAGATCCCCCTGCCTCTGCTTCCTGAGTGCTGGGATTAAAGGTGTGCGCCACCACTGCCCGGCTGGCTGAGCGTTCTTTTTCCTTTGAGACACCTTTTTCCTTTTGGTTCTGGACAGACGCTACCATTATCTTCTGGTTTCTTGGTTTTGGTCCTTTGAATGTTGGTATTCCCTGGCTTTCACCTCCTGTCAGCTCTTCACTCTGCACATTTGTTCTCTGGGAGCTCTCATCAATGCCCAGGGATTTAACAATTACTGTCTATCTATGAATGTCAGCTCTCTAGCTTGCTCTGTTTCGTTTTCTTCATAGCTCCGTATTTACTCACCTACTGCCATGGCATTATGAAGTCAGTATATTTGAAAAAGAACGCTTATTCAAACTTGTTTCTCATTTCACCAAATAGCATCAGTATTCAGGCTAGAATTTAGAGTCTGTTCCTTCTTCCTTTCCCTCTATAGTGCAACTGTCCATCCCAACTTCTTAACCTCCCCGCCCACCCCTCCCCAGAATATTGCAGTATAGCCCAGCTTGGTCTGGAATTTGTGACTTGTGGCCTCAACTTCCTGGGTGCTGACATCATTTCTGTGAGTCACTATGCCTTGCTCTCTTAAACACCTTACATTTATTTTATTTCCTTGTCTCATTTGAATGATATTAATAATAAATTTGCATTGTTCCATCAAACAACATCTGCCTGCTGTATATATGTGTGCTTACACACAAGTTTTTTTTTTTTTTAAACAGTCCTGTGAAGATTTTATATCTTGAGTTATGGGAAAGAAACAAGATGTAGAGAGAATAAGCAGTTTTCTCTGAGTGAGTTCTACATCTGGTATGTGGAAATCAGAGATCTGAATGTAAACAAATGACTAATGGTGACTTTTTCTTGCTAGTCTTTGGAGTTGAACCCATAGCCTCATACATGTTAAGCATAGCTCTGCTATTGAAATATCCCTGCAGCTCTTAAAAGCCTTACATTTAATCATCATGGGATTGCCTTTTAATGCATGCCTCCATGGTCTCAGGTTATGAAATCTACCTTTTAAACTGTCTGTCTTCATCTTGACACTTTCCTATCCGTTCTATGCAGTTCAGACCTTTGCTTCTGCCTTCCATGATTGCCGTGTTTGAGAGAGATCTGAACTTAGGGTCTGACCGACACAGCCAGTGCAGTTTCCTCCCTCCTCGGCTCTGACATCTCTTAGCATTACAGCTAGTGTCGCTGTCACCTCCCCTCACCACACACATACTTTCAGTATATATACATTATTCTTTTCAGTGCTGATACATACAAAGTTTCTCTCAGCCTCCTAGATGTCCTGAAATACCTCCTGTTTATGTAGATCCTCAAGGAACTCAATATATAGTTGTTGAATTGGAGTAGCTCCACTTGGAATCCAAGGTTGGACAGTTTATTATTCATTAAGCTATGATTTTTTTATCATGTACTCATTGTGCATACACGCCTTCACAGTAGAATCAAGTCTGTAGTTGTGTGTTTATGTGTGTGTGGGGAGACTGATTTTAATTATGTAATGATTGTCATTAAAGACTATACACTGAGTTCCAATGCTGAATGATTGTCAGTTTTAGGTCAGGGACAGTGGGCATCTGAGCCAAGTCAGATCTAACTTAATGCAGGATGATTCTATTGAACCACTAATTTTTCAGTGTTTCAATTTTGGTAAGTTTAGGACTTCTTTAGCAGCTTTACTTCTCTTTCCAACTGACAGTGCCTAAATATGAGATGACCTGTTAGATTTTTGTATGTATCAGTTGAAGGGAAGAAGGAGGAGGACAGGTGTTTTGAGTGGCTGTGGGTAATGAAACTGCTGTAGGACAACAGCGAGCGGGGGGGGGGGGGGGGGGGGGGGGGGGGGGGATATGTAGAAGACATTAGATACAATTCACAAACTAAAGAACCATCAAAAAAATAATTCAAGTTCCAAGTAATAATGAATCAGAGTAGAAATGGTTGTGTATTGAGACCTGTTAGATCATAATTTTATAATTTGATGTATTTCAAGTTTATTAAATTTCTAAGTGTGTTAATACTACTGGTCGGTGGATAAATATATTTTAATTTAGACAGACATATAAATATGGAAAGGTTATGTCTTTGGAAACAATAAAAACTGAGTGCAGAATTAAAATGTTATTTAATTGAATCAATCTGTGAGCAGTTTGTCTTATTATTATTATTATTAGCTTATTTGAACTAGTTGGCATTTTGTACTTCCATTTTATTTTTCACTGTTACCTTTAACCTTTCTAGGGCCCAAGAGATGAACCAGCGTGTAAAGGTAAGCACCTGCTGCCAAGCCTGATGACCTGTTTGGCTTCCAGGACCCACATGGTGGAAGGGTAGAACCACCTTCCTCAGGCTGGCCTCCGACCTCTGCATGCCTGCTGTGGCACATGTATGCCCACACATATACACAAACGAAATCAAGGGAAAAATAAAGACTTAAAGAGCGTTGCTGAAGTCGGAGCTGAGAAAGCGTTTCTTTTGTAAGCATGAGGACCTGAGTCTGGGCCTGCAGCTCCTGTGTGAAAGCTGGGCATGGCTGCCTGGCGCCGTCATCCCATCACTGACGGGTGGTGACAGGTGGGTTCAGGAGCACGCTGGCCATCCTCTCCCCGCTTTTCCCTCTGGCATCAAAACTGATAAATGTTGCAAGTACTCTTAGAAGATTAAAAAGTGTTCTCAAAGCATCCCTCAGTCCAGAATTGTGTAAAAGAGGCCAAATCTTTAGCTACTCAAGACTTTTACCAGATCTCTGGCATTTGATTTAGGAAAACTTGAGGAAGACGTATTTTCATGGAAATAAACATTTCTCAGTCTGCTTTGAAGGGTGTTGCAGGCAGGGCATTTGGTGCATGTATTTGTGATGAGTGCCTCCTGTTGGTCAAGCTTATGCTCTAGGTACCGTCCTGTGCATTCTCTTAGGGTTCTCCCAGTGATTTCGAGGAGAGAGCAGTGCCACGTGGAGACTAAATTCATTTCCTAAAACTATTGGCTTATGGGGCTAAAAATAGGATTTAAACCTGGGGACTGCCGCTGCTTTCTTCCCCACCTGTGAGCGCTCCTTTAGCTGAAGGAGGTAGGCTAAGGCTCTTCAGTTTTTCATGCGTGTGTAGTATTTCACAAGTCATTTGTGCAGGAAACACCTGGTTGCTTGTTATTTCTGCTTCTCAGTTCTCACTGAATACTGGAGATAGACCATGTTTCTTAGTTATTGTCTCCCTCTTGATCTCAAACCAGAGTAAACCAGACCTTGGTACAGGATGTGCTACATCTATAATCAGAAAGCAGATTCCTTTTACTAAGTGCTGGACTTGCCTTTGCCAACACCAGAGGTCAATGTGCTGTTTCTGCCTGAAAGTCCTGTGAATGATGGAGTTAGGACTAGAAAGTGAGTACTTGCCCAAAGCACTACTGAGGGCTAGGACATATTGTCTTTGTTCTCTTGGTGCCTGACACCGAGGAGCCTCAGTAACATGAATGAACTAAGCTGGAGACAACCTAAGCACATGTGCTGCGCAGGGAGCATGGGGAGAGCCTGTTACCTGGGCTGGGTTTACGAATTTCGGGAGACTTAATCTGGGTTTAACAATCCTTTTTCCTGCTTCCTCTAAGATAGTTAAAGAAACCCATAAATATTTTACATAAATATTTATATAGTTTTACTATATACCCCTCTCTGGCCTTGAATTTGCTCTGTAGACCACACTGGCCTTAAACTCACAGAGATCCACCTGCCTCTGCCTCTGGAGTGTTGGGATTAAAGCCTGTGCACCACCACACCAGGCTCTATATTGATTTTTACTTACCTATTTCCAACCCATTTGATGCCATGACTGATGTTAGCTTAGAGCTTTCCTTAAATTGCTGCTTTTTGACATCTGGATCTAGTGGGGCCTAGAATCACATATCCCCTTGTATGCAATAATTCAAGAATATTTCCTTTCTCAGCATATAGATTTTAAAGTTGGGTACTTGCCTCAAAGAAAAACATAGCAAAAGGAAATGGGTCCTGTGCTTATACAAGTATAATTAATACATTACAATGTGTGTTTTATGAACTATAAACTGTTTGCTAAAAATGAACCTGGCTACTCATGTCCTATTGTCTATAGCAAGAATTCCAAAGGCTTTCCTTACTTTCTAGGAGTTGACAGATTTTTTTAAGTTAATAGTGCTTTGCTTTATACAATCTTTCAAAAAAAATTAAATAAAATTTGGAACTTTGATTCTCAACTGTGTGTTCACATAGCTACAGTATATGGATTTTCATATTAGAATGCTTTGGGTCTTATAATTAAAACTGAATACAGATTGAAATAAAATTGATATTCTTGAGACCTATTTTGGTTGAATGTTGTGATGGATTCTTGCTGTTCCTATCCAGCACATGTTTTCTTTTGAATTTCAAGAAGCTTTTTTTGATTTTTTTCAATTCTTTTTAATTGTGAGACCTTTCTTCCCTTAAATACAGCAACCTCCAGTTTATTTCAAAATAATGGTAGTCAGGCAAAATTGCTCAGTTGTTAAAGGCACTGGCTGCCAAGTCTGACTACTTGAGTTCAGTCCCAAGACCCACATGGTGGAAGGGAAGACCTGATTCCAGAAAGTTTCCCTCTGACACCCCCCCCCCATATATGGGCCATGACACAGTACTTGTACCCCAAATAACTAATCTATTAAACCATAGAGATTTCCTTTCTGCTATTTTCCACTCTTCCTTCCTAGTGCCCCCTGGTCACTGATGGAGAGACCAGCAGCTGTTCAGATTTCAGTAGATTCTGAGAACCAGTTTGTCCACTCAGCAAACACTGGTTTTGACTTCAGGATGTCACACAACTACTAGATTGTATGTCAGCAGGGTTGTTGCGTGTGAGGAGCGTGAGAAACAATGACTTGTCTTCTGATCAAGAAGCTGTGTTTCAGGCTGCTGCATTCCAGATGAGAAGTGAGGGGTATGGCAGCTGACACTCCTGGTCTCAACAGTGCCTTCCACAGGCGTTCAAATGATTGGTGTACTATGGGTTTTTATTATCTCTAAAGAGTGATTTATGTCCTTATTTTTGCATTATTGTCCACCAGGTACTGCCCTCTGTGAGAGGGCCTGTGCTGTTTAATTTTTTAGATCTTTGTCTTCATTAGTATAACAATTTTTGCTTGTAATCATTGTACTGGACCTCGCTGATAAGCCAAGACACTGTGAGATTCATAGTGCTGACATCTAACCTTGCCACTGCCTTCTTGACCCTTCTGCTTCCGAAACATGGGTTCATTTTTTTTTATAAAACCAAGGTAAAACTCCATCTATTTTTCACACATATTGTGGGCAGTTTAAAGGTTGGTCAGAATCAAATATTGTGCTTTCAAATCCGATAATGTATGAGTGCAGAAGGTTGACCTTTGCTACATAGTCATACATCACCATGACATGAGCAGTAGATGCAGCAATTACCTTTAGTGTATTGGAATGGTGCTTTGGCTGCTATCTTCTGTGCAATTATTGCACAAAATTTAAAAAGGCATTGAAGTTCCAGTTATGAAATTTGTAAAGATTCAAATTTTTGAAAATAGTAGTAATTTATACATTTATTTCCAACACAAGCTTGGTCTTCCTAAGATCCACTTATTTACTAACAAAGATTGTTAATTATTGCTCTGATAACAGATTAATGTAAAGCTATTTTGTGTTTTAGGAATAAGTTTTAAGACAGCTCAAAGAAGTTTTACCAAATGATTTTTAATACATATGCCAGTGGTTAACTAAAAGCATTTAGTGATAATAAGGGCCCTGTTGTAATAACACAATGCTGCATATAGGTTCTGCCATCTGTAGGATTTTTGTTCTAGTGTGTTCATTTAATTATTCATTTTCCCTCTGATGAATGTTAACTATGAGCCAGGCATGGGAGATAGAAATGAGATTGGGGTCCTATTCTTAAGAGTTCATAGTGTCTCTGTTTTGTCTGATAGCCTGGTTCAACCATAGAAAGTTCTGAGATGAAAACACAGTGACTTCACTTAATTAAATGCTAAGTGAAATGTGCATTGGCCAGTGTGGCCCAGAATGGTAAAGTTCTGTAGTTCCCACCCTGTCTTCATTGCCTCGTGACTCAGTTTACCCCTTCACTAGTTCTCTTTAAATCCCTCCTTTTCAGCCGGGCGGTGGTGGCGCACGCCTTTAATCCCAGCACTCGGGAGGCAGAGGCAGGCGGATCTCTGTGAGTTCGAGGCCAGCCTGGGCTACCAAGTGAG